TATAAATAATAATTTAAGAACTAAATTATATAATTTACATTTGAGCCTTTTTTAAGGTAGGTAGGGACAGGTATCTCTGAACTCCAGCCTGATTAGTGGCGTAAATGCTGGTCCAGTTTACTACAGATCCGATAAATACTGTCCAAAATGTGTGTCGGATAAATGGATTTGGATTTAAGCTATTTAAGTATAATTAGTTTTAATTAAATGTATTGTATTTCTAGCAATTGATGCCTCACTTAAAAACCTCAGTCCTATCGAAGTGTTTATTAATATCCCAAAGGGTGTGAAGTCCTCCCAAATCATACACCCCTTTGACCACAACTGTACCCATCATTGCAAACATAAGAGTTGTCTGAAACACATCCGTCCAGACGACGGCTTTTATACCACCGATAGTCGTATAGAAAGTACAGACGACTCCTGTAGTTATCACCGAAAACCATAATCCCATTCCTGTCACTAGTATTAAAGATTATAATAAATAAACTCATCTAAAAATAATTCTTTTATTCATAAGGTATCCCACATTATGTATAACTACTGTAGTATATTCTAATATTCAGTATCACTACATCTCATATTAATACCTACATTGAGATATGGCTAATGCCGGTCCATATAATACAATAGACTGGAGAACAACCTGTTTCAATAAAATGTATACTCTTTATAAACCGATTAAATATTATACAGTAGTAATTTATCTAGAATTACCATGTTGACTGTGTATATGAGTGAACCCAATAACCTAACCGATCTACCAAACCGTTTATCTAAATACTAAATTAGAAAATATTATTAAAATAAATAAGATTAAGTATTTTAAATAATAATCTAAATTATAATATACTGACAGTAATACTATTTAACATTTATGCTTTAATGATATTAGAAATTTTAAATCCAATGACAATTATATAATTAAAGTGATATGATTAAGCCTCAGGTCTGCAATGATTATGCTTGATGTTTGGTGCTTGATATGATGACCTTGGTTTAATATATCATTATAACTTTTGAGATTTTAAACTTATTCATTTTTAGTGACCTTACTATACACACAATAATTATATTTATATTTCTAAATATAAATTATTATAGATAATATAAAATATTTAGTATAAGTAGTTTCTAGCATAAATATTAAAGTGTACCTGGTTAACACACCTCAAATGTGCTGGTAATTTGAAGTTCATAGAACACAGGCATAAACATATAGGCGCTCACATACATGACTATTGGGAAACTGCACATAACAGCCCAGTTTTGTAAGCCATAGATGTACACCTCGGCGGGGAAGCCTAATAAAGCTATGGCCGATATAAATGTAGCCATCACTGACATGGACACCGGAAGGACACTCATCGACCGGTTAGCCATCAGAAATTCATTGGCACTCGACTTTCCCCTACCCGTCCACCAGTAATACAGACCAATAAGCGCCGAAACTATTAACATGGATGCAAACACCGCATAGTCTACGGTTGATAGAGTATTAACAGCACCGGTAGTACTCATTGCAAAATAAATTGATTTATATAATTATATTTTATTAATTATTAAGATTTACACAAATTTTTAAATGATTTTTGAAATAAATGCACTCATTATTAGTGATATTCTGATATTTAGAGTTAGCACTAAAAATAATTTTATAATTTAAATAACTTTATAATACATGACCTAGATACACTAGTCGTATGGATAATGTCTATGTGACACGTACTGGTGCCCAATGAGCACTTGTAGAATATGAATATACTAATAATCTCTAATATTACTATACTGTAATAAAATTATTATTACAGTTATCCACTCATACACTCGGTGTTTATGATAAAATGTGATTATAAAAAGTAACATAATTTTGATTTCTAGTTTTATGAATAAGTAATTTATTTTAATTTTTTATTCAATAATATTTTATATGCTTTAATATCCTTGAGCAATGCAAACAAATAAAATATAAATAATTAAGTTATAATTATGAACCAAAAAATCATATTTAAAAATAGCTTTTGTTAATTGTGTGAACAAGGGTATAGTAAGGAAGTGCAATTTAAAGATCAATAATAAAAATTTTTTAAATTATATTTTTATCAATTAAATAATATTACTGTAATGAGTTTACTTTTATATTGATAATGTGAGGATTAAAATAATTATAGATCTCAATTCATTTATGTATATAGAAATGCACTTTATTTGAATATTATATATTGTTCATTGTTATTTATAATTTACACAAATATACAACATAAAGTTTTATTAATAA